CAAAGCCGCTCTTCAATAAATACATGTAAAGTTGCTGTGTAGGTCCAATGCTGCCTCCGCATAAAAGAAAAACATCTGAACATACATGATATCTTTGAATAGGCTCTGTAAACGTAACAGATAGCATAAAAGCCACAATATGTGTGGCTCAAACAAACATTCAAATCAAATCAGGTTTTATTTATAAAGCACATTTTAAAACGAGGGGGGGGGGGGAGATATATCCAGTCTCTGATTGTGTTACGTTATTATGAGAGTGCTCTGTTTGATTCTGAAATTGTATATATATATATCTATATATATAGATATATATATGTATATATATGTGTGTGTGTGTGTGTGTGTGTGTGTGTGTGTGTGTGTGTGTGTCCGCATCTGTAGCCTGTTATTGTCTCATACCGCACTGTGAATTAATCAAAGTAAATATATAAGTGGTCATGAACACATCTGTCCATCAGACAGAGGGCTGCTGTGCCTCCTGTCATCATTAATGGACGTCTCTTTAAAATGACCGCTCAGAGGAGAGGAGTTCTCATTTCTCTAACCGCCTGCTGCTTCCCCTCCTCTCTCCTCGGCTCCCCTCCTCGGCTCCTCCGCTCGCATCTCCTGTGGGCGGGACTAAGTCTCGAGGATAGGAGTCGAGGAGGGGAGTCGAGGAGGGGCATTTGATGAAATGAGAACGGCCCCAGGCCTCTGCTCTGATTGGGAAGAACAACATCAGCCCTCCAGCTGATAGCAGGGCCACTTTTATTAATATGACTTTTTTCTACTCCTGCATAGAAACTCAGAGAATAATAAAGATGCTAGGAACAGGGGTTTTCCCATCAACATCATCACGGTGGAATTATGGACATATTGACGTATGAGAAGAAAGAAAATGTGTGAGAGATTTGAAAGCAGCAACAGAGACAGTAATGAGCAGGTGAGCTGCCGAACAATGCGCAGCTGGTCTTAATTTAACTGACTCTTTGAGAAAACCAATGCCAGCTTTACCTTTGTCTTGATTTATTCACAACACTTTGACAAGCGCTTCAAAGCTGAAAATACAATCATCATGTACAGCAACAAAAGGATCTTTGACGTGAATGGAGGTGGTGTCTGCATGTACATACATAAAGACACCAATTTCAAAAACCGTACTGACCTGCATCATGAAAATATTGAATCTGTGTGGGTTGAAATTCTTTTTGACAATGCTAAATCTGTAATAGTCGGGACAATCTATAGACCACCGGAACAGAGTGACTTTTATGATACATTAGATGGGTGTTTGGCTGATGTGGGGGATGTAGAGACAATTATTATTGGAGACTGGAACACGGATATGCAACGTAAAGACACGTCCGTCTTCAAGTCCTTCAGTAGGATTTGTGATCTGCACGGCCTCAGCCAGTTAATCACCCAACCCACCCGGGTATGTGAAACAACACAAACTACCATTGATCTCATTCTGACCTCTGACAGGTCCAGGATCTCCAGTAAAGGGGTTATAGCATGCGGTTTAAGTGATCATTATATGATATTCTGTACCCGCAAAAAGCTAAAACAAAAGGCCGGCTGTCACAAAACAGTCATATCTAGAGACCTCAAAAACTACTCTAGCGAGGCCTTTAACCTAGAACTGGAGAGCCTGGACTGGTCAGATGAGCTCAGTGGTACACAAGTTGAAGAAACATGGCTTGGTTTCAAAAACAAATTCTCTGCAATACTCAATGATTTGGCCCCCCTAAGAACAACCAGGGTAAAAAATCGCGCTGAGCCGTGGATGCACTCCGGCATACTGACCGCCATGAAAACCAGAGACAAAAAATGCTCTGAGTTTCATAAAAGTCAGTCAATGCTTTCCAAAAGCACGAGCAGTGAACTCCAGGCCCACGTGACTGAACTAAAAATTGAAAGAAACAGACTAAGAAATGACGTAAGCTCCATGATCAAAACTGCCAAAAAGAATTTCATCAATGACAAAACTGAGGAAAACAAAAATAAACCCCGTGAACTTTGGAAATTACTCAATAACCAGCTTGGCTGCAGTAAAAAACTCAAAACGAGATTTTCAAACGTAAACATAAAGACAGATAACAGGCTCATCACAGACAAACTGGATGTGGCCAAGTACTTGAACATTTTTTTCACAAACATAGCCACAACTCTTGTAAATAAATTACCCTCCCACTCAGGGCTTTTTGGAGTAGATCACATCATGACCTACTACAAAAACCTAGGGGTACGCAAAGATGATTTCAGTCTAGCAAGGGTAACAACAGCAGAGGTACTCATTAAACTGAGCGCCCTCAAACCTAACAAGGCCACTGGCCACGACAATATCCCCTCCAAATTCCTCAGAGACACAGCAACCGCCATCTCACCAGTCATAGCTCACATAATTAACCTCTCCATAAAACAGGGAAAAGTACCCAAAGACTTCAAAATTGCAAGAGTAACCCCCCTGCACAAAAAGGGCAGCAAATTGGACCCAGGCAACTACCGCCCTGTTTCTATACTTACCTCCATCTCGAAAGTCATGGAAAAAATAGTATATGAACAGGTCGAAAAGTACCTCGCAGAAAAGAAACTAATCTATGAATTTCAATCTGGCTTTAGAACATCCCACTCCACTGACACATGCCTTCTTTATTTGAACGACCACATCAAACAAGAGGTGGACGAGGGTAAATACTGCGGCATGGTGATGCTGGACCTACAAAAGGCTTTCGACACTGTCAATCACCCCATTCTGATTGACAAGCTAAAAGCAATTGGTTTTGATAAACTATCGGTGAGCTGGATGCAATCCTACCTGGAGGGGAGAGAACAGATGGTGGAGGTAAACGGTACTCTGTCCCCCCCCCTCCCAGTGAGCTGTGGTGTTCCACAAGGAAGCATATTAGGTCCGTTACTGTTCCTAATTTATGCAAATGACATGTCATCAGCATGTGACTGCAACTTGTTCCTGTTCGCGGACGACTCAGCCCTGCTGGTCTCTGACAGGAGCAGATTGCAGGTTGAAAAAACCCTCAGCTCCGAGCTCGGCAGAATCTGCACCTGGCTCGCCGATAATAAATTATCATTACACCTGGGTAAAACAGAGTCCATTCTCTTCGGTTCGAAACATAATCTCAGCAAATCCGACGACTTCTCAGTTGCAGTGGGTGACATTATTGTCACAAGTAAGAAGGAAATTACATACCTAGGATCTATTCTTGAGGCAAACCTCTCCTGTGACAAAATGGCATCCAATGTAATAAAAAAAGTCAATCAAAGAACTAGATTCCTATACCGGATCTCCTCTCTGGTAAACAAAAACACCCTGAAAACTCTGGCAGGAGCACTCATTCAAGGGTACTATGACTATGCTTGCACGTCATGGTACCATAGCACCTCCAAGGCGCTAAAAATAAAACTTCAAACATCGCAAAATAAACTGGTCAGACTACTGCTTGACCTTTCATCTAGAACCCACCTCACCTCTGCCCACTTTGACAACCTAGGATGGCTTAGAGTAGACGACAGAGTACAGCTACTTGCAATGGGCCTGGTCTACAAGATCCACTACACCTCTATGGTACCCATGTACATGTCAAAATTCTTCCCAAAGGTCAAGGAATACCATGATCATAACACCAGAGGGAGCTCCACAAATCATGTAAAACCCAGATTTGGCACAAAAAAAGGGGAATACACGTTTCGCAATTATGCCACATCAAGGTGGAACGCTCTTCCCACAACTGTAAAGGAAAGTAAAACTATACTTACCTTCAAAACCTCTCTTAAAGAGCACCTTCGGGGGAAAGCATTGCAAAACTGGCCCCGGTAATGGTACAAATCTCAACCTGTCGTACAATGGACAGCTTCCCCCCCCCCATCTATGTATATACTCGCATTTTAGACTCTGTTACTAACTGTATATCTGTAGACTTGGTATGTCTTAAATGTCCGGTTAGGATGTATTAGAACGAAATCTAAAATGAAAATTGTAAATAAGCCATCTGTATGTAAAAAACCACCTGTATGTAAATTGTAAATAAGCCATCTGTATGTCAAATATGTCTTATATGTCTTAAATGATATGATGAATTGGAAATGGGGGACCCTGATGTAAACAAGACGAAAGTCTTTCTCTGGTCTGCATCCCCTTAACAATTGTATGTTTTGAGCTGTACTGTACTGTACCCAATATACAAGCTGTTAATAAACTTTTCAATCAATCAATCAATCAATGACAAAGAACTCATATTACAGGCTTCAGATTTGTATTTTTCTGATGTTTTATTCCCTAACAACACTGCTGCAGTGAGTGCGCTAGATTCTCCTGTGGGGTCCTTCAGTCTATTCACTCTCGCCTTAGAGGAGGTGAGCTCATTGCCGTTTCTCAGCAAGCTGTTTCTTTCAGCTGGAGGCTCTCTTGGGACGACGCATGTTGCCTTCCAGGAGCCCTTTGTGCCCTTTATTGGATTCAATGTCAGCTGCAGTTGTATTTTACAACACTTGCATCTCTGTTTGGTTATCTTGGATCATATAGTAATGCAGACATGATAGAGAAAGGCTGACGTTTGGGGCATTGACTACTTTTCAGCACGGTTCGTTTGCTACTGAATAGATACATGTGTAGTTTCACTAACTCACACAATTACAACACATATGCACTCATTCCTACAAAACAATTCAATATCATTCAATCGATTCACTACAAAATAAAGAGCACTGAATTCAAATTGACATATTTATTTATGTCCTGCCATATTCTTAGTCTGATGCCAAACAATTGCAGCTGGAACCATTTGTGTTCATTGCTTTTTGAACATCCATATCTCTTACACACACACACACACACACACACACACACACACACACACACACACACACACACACACACACACACACACACACACACACACACACACACACACACACACACACACACACACACACACACACACACACACACACACACACACACACACACACACACACACACACACACACACACACACACACACACACACATTTGAATACTTTATTTGGTTCCACAAATTATATTACATAAGACAGGGAATCAAATATATCGGGGCTAAGCAGCACAGAACACTTAGGGGAACACATAGCATCTCCCTCTCCACACGGCTAAGCAGCAGCCTTAAGGGAACACATAGCATCTCCTTCTCCACACGGCTAAGCAGCAGCCTTAAGGGAACACATAGCATCTCCTTCTCCACACGGCTAAGCTGCCAATAATAGCTGAAACAGAGCAATATTTGGCAATTTGTTTGGCTTTTCTTTTTGACATTCCAGCAATTCTCAGACCAATCATGGTGTATTTATATACATGGCCAAGACTTCCGAATATGAGTATGCTATATCTACACTTGTACCCAAAGCTGGTTATGACATGGAGCAGTGGTTGGTATTTGATATACTTGTCCTGGAAAGCCTGGTCCATGTACAGGTCAAAGGCACAGCCTACTTCTAATATTAGCACCTCCCTGTGGTTGGTGTCAACAAAAACAACATCAGGTGTATTTGGGATGTTAGCAAAGACATCATTGGTAAAACCAAACCATTCTGGTAACACTCTAGTGTGCTTGTACATTGCTGCGCTAGATGGTAAGATGTTTTGTACCGCATCAGACACAATGTCCACAATACGGTCATGACGGGCTATGTACAGGCGTTTGTATGCATTACATCCATTTGTTATGTGTGCAATGGATTCTCGGTGTTGTTGTGAATCCTGGTGGTTTAAACAGAATGGAGTGTGAATGTGAGGGTACCAGGTGGACAGATTGTACTTAGTGGGTAATACCTGCAGTCTTGCTTTGATGGTAAATGTCAGAACATCCTCACCAACAGCGGCGTTCTTAAACACTGAGTGTGAGACTGAGTGGTCAGCAAACCCCAAACAGGCTAGCTTTCCCTGTAATCTGAGTCCACACCAGTGCTGCTTGATCTCAGACTGCTTCATGCTGAGCAGAACCCTCCTTGCAGAGTCTCGGTGCAGTTCCACAGTCTCTTCCTGAGGTGTTGTGATGTCGGCCTTCACAACCACACTGGGGTCTGTGATCAGTTCATCAGAGACGGGGACTTCAGTCTGTGTGTTGAGTCTTGTCCATTTCAGCTGGACTCCAGTCCGATTGCAGAGGTCATTGAGATCTGGCCAGTCAGACCAGACCCCGAAGCCCTTGGCCTGAGAGTCCAGTTTCCCAGAGTCCTTCCTCCTGAAGCCGAGGAAGTTGTTCTGGTCTGCGCTGGCCAGGGGGATCTTCCTTCTTTGTAGATCCAGCAGGAGAGAGGCCCTGGCCATTTCTCTTACGGTGACATCATCATTGTTAAGCATGTGGATCAGGTGGGCTAGCCTGGTGGCTATGTAGGTCCACTCGACATTGGGGACACCCAGCCCCCCCTCTCCACATGGGAGAAAGATCATGCCCCGTGTGGAGTGTGTGTTGAGGCCCACCCACTTTCTGACCAACTGGACAGTTTTGTTTGTCATTTCTCTCAGTGCCTTGAGAGGGATGTGTACATTGGCAAAGAGATGTTGAATTTTAGCCAAAGCCACCTCTCTCACAGCCTGGAACTTCATGAGGACGGGGAGGGGGGACAGGTCAATCAGGTGGAGACGATGGAGAAACTCTGTAGTGAGCTCCTCGACCTGCTCCCCCCACTCACCAGCGATGTTAAACCTGTGGCCAAGGTATGGGTAGGTCTCATTACGGGAATACACCCTAATAGGTTGGCCCATTACAAGAAAGGAGGGGGGCTTGTCGTTCTTGGCCTTATACCAGCGGTTGCCTCCACTGCGGCGCTCATGGAGTACGGCACACTTAGCTTGCTTCACCTCCAGCCCTGACCATTGGAGGAACTCATCAGTGCGTGCTAGCATGCCAATGATGACATCCTCCTGTCGTGACGACACCTGCACGTCGTCACACACACACACACACACACACACACACACACACACACACACACACACACACACACACACACACACACACACACACACACACACACACACACACACACACACACACACACACACACACACACACACACACACACACACACACACACACACACACAGTAAGCTGGAGTCTGGTATTAATGCTCACAGAAAAAGCTCCTCTATGCTGTAGCCTAAATGTCCAAAGGCTTTTCATTATGTGAGGGAGCCACAGGCCATTTTGTCCAACACAACTTCTCACAATACAGCTCTGATTTCAGCCACTCGGCTAGTGATTGCTTCCAGAGCCCGATGTTCAACACACTCTTCATGAAACACTCAAGATTGGAGTTGGTTTTGTTTGACTGTGGGTGGTTGGTCGGATGTTTACGTTTTTCATTTTCTAACTCTCTTAGTTCTTCTTTCTAAGCCTTTCTTTGTATATATGTAATTTCAATTCCCGCTGGCTAATAACAGGGCTATGTAGCAGCTTATTGATTGATCTCACAGTGTGTGAAGTTAGTGCTACTAACTTCAAGGTTTTGGGAAGTTAGTGCTACTTTTCATAAAAGACAACGCAGAGATTACATCAAGTTTTAAATGAAGTCATTCTTAGTACTTAGAAGATTAATTGGTGAGCCACTGGAATTTGCTCAACATTATCCCCTGCAGATCCTGTAGATTATGCTCAATTTGCATGATGAAGCAGTGCAATTTACATCTGTACGTTTTTGAGAAATTAAGCCACACATGGCTCGAGTATCGATATTTTGAAACGTAACGTAATATCGGAAGTATCGATATTTTGGGATTGATCCGCCCACCCCTACTTTAAAGTAGAGACACTAAATACTGATATACACCTGAACATCAGCAGGAGAGGACTCTTTAAAGTAGAGACACTACATACTGATATACACCTGAACATCAGCAGGAGAGGACTCTTTAAAGTAGAGACACTACATACTGATATACACCTGAACATCAGCAGGAGAGGACTCTTTAAAGTAGAGACACTACATACTGATATACACCTGAACATTAGCAGGAGAGGACTCTTTAAAGTAGAGACACTACATACTGATATACACCTGAACATCAGCAGGAGAGGACTCTTTAAAGTGGAGACACTACATACTGATATACACCTGAACATCAGCAGGAGAGGACTCTTTAAAGTAGAGACACTACATACTGATATACACCTGAACATCAGCAGGAGAGGACTCTTTAAAGTAGAGACACTACATACTGATATACACCTGAACATCAGCAGGAGAGGACTCTTTAAAGTAGAGATTCTCAATAATGACTCAGTAGTCTAAAGTACAGAACGCTTTTGCATAATGATTTTAAAGTATCTTTTTCAATAACACGGCTAAGTTATCATCTTTTTTCCCCCGTACCTTTTGGATATCAGTTTCCATCTCGATTACTAACATACTTTTATTTTTGAAAAAATCTTAATTTTGACATTTTCATTCTCAATTTACGAAAAAAGAACACATCTAGAAACTCGTGTGTGTGTGTGTGTGTGTGTGTGTGTGTGTGTGTGTGTGTGTGTGTGTGTGTGTGTGTGTGTGTGTGTGTGTGTGTGTGTGTGTGTGTGTGTGTGTGTGTGTGTGTGTGTGTGTGTGTACCTGTGATACGTGCATGTCGCTCTCATCCACCAGACCCGGCAGCTCGCTCAGGACCGGTTCCAGCGCGGCAGGTTTGATGTTTGCAGCCTGATGCGTGATGATCGAGGTGAGACAGGCCAGCGTCCCGAGCTTCAGAACTCGCTCGTTCTTTCGGAGGAAAGATCCCAAAACTGAGAGCGTCTCCGGCAGGATGGAGGACAGGTCGATCTGAGAGAGGAGGAAGAAATGTTTACAGCAGGGGTGTCAAACTCAATTTCATGGCGGGTCACATTAGCATAAAGGTTGCACTCAAAGGGCCGGTTGTAACTATATAAATATATAATATATATATAAAAGAATGTATTATATTACATTATTGCCTCTGAATTGGATTATTATCGGATAGGATAATAACTTAGTAATTGACTACGTCTGAAAGCAGAAGTCCAGGGCAAATAATTGCAAGTCTCTTCAGTGCGCATGTCACAAAACAAGATGCATTGTGGGACATGTAGTTTATGGGCAACCTGCTTCTGTAACCGTATAATAAACGTATTATATTCTTTGCAAGCTCTTGCGAGGCCACATAAAATGAAATCGCGGGCCGGATTTGGCCCCCGGGCCTTGAGTTTGAGAGCCCTGGTTTACAGTGAAGCTGTTATGGCAGAATGTTTAATACAGCGTATTTCTGATATTTATTAATGATCACATGGTATTCCATATGATGTGTGTTACTGAGTTGGGTCACACACAGTTAGAGAGACAATGGTCGTTCTGAATTATCAATAGATGTATTCATTTTTAGTGAGCTGACACCGCGGGTATAGGAAGTGCAGAGAAGGCCTCGGGTTATAAAAACAGTTAACCTTTGTTAGTTAACTAATCCTCAAGATATCATGAGATAATGACGTTTAAACATATACAGGTATAGCTTTCAGAGAGAAAAACATGTGACATTTGTGTGGTTGGCTGCATGATACAATGTGTGTGTGTTAAACATGTTTGGGGAACATGTTCGTGTGTCATTTAGAAAAGTATATCTAGCCCTGTGTTTCTTCTGTTCTGGGGGGCATTTCCGCGATTGGCTGCTGTGGCAGCAGGTGATGTACTTCCCATTATTGTTTGTTTGTTGCAACAACTAAATAATAATTACTTATCAGCTATATCTGTGTTTGTGTTTTATTGATTCCTCTCTGTTTCATTCTTTCCTGTTGTGTTATGCTGGATCTCCACAACATTTTGGAGGTCCTACCAAGATTGCCGATGCTGGAGGTTGCTGTGTTCCTTCTCTGGGGGTCTCAACTCACCCTGATCAGGCAGTAATGAAGATTACATTTTGTGAGGAAACCACCAATAATTCCTTTAAGTGTTCCAAAAATATATTCATTAACTGTAATTAGATTACTTACTTACTCAAATATAGCGCGGATTGAATACAGTTACTTGATGTTTTGTATTCTGTTACAACCTAACCATGCTTGTAACACAACTTAGATAAACAATTTGAAAAAGAATAGAATAAGCAAGAAGATAAAAGATGAGTCTATAGTGGTTAAGGAGGGTTTCCTTGTTTTGCTCATTGACTTAGAACTGAAGTAAAGGAGAATGGGGTTTTATGAGAACTGTCATTCCTCATGGTTTTAAAGATAAATCATCAGATTGTATGGACTTTGATGTTGAAATGCATCATGGTGGAGAAGGAAGACCTTTTTGGTTTTGAAATTTAAGAAGATTTTAAAGATTATGTTTATGTTCTTTTCCTGACTAGAATTTAAAAGCAGGACGTCAACAAGAAAAGAGATTTTACAATGTAGTTGTACTACTTTTAATGAAGTAAAGAATCTGGGTAAACTACCACCATTAGTTTGTTTTAACATTCACATGTTTCAGCATTCCTGACCATATGGACACTCAGCCATTTTATAACCCGTTGGGGGAGAGATTTAAATTGAGTTTTTCTCTAGTAGCTGATTGGCTGTGATTACAGCAGCACTGGATAGTTATGTGCCACCTTTATCAATTATTGCTCTGTGATAAATTGCTTTTAGGCCCTAACATGTTATTTAGGGGCTAATAATGTCTTTTTATTTTCATTGCTGGCTAATGAATTGAATAAAGTCGTGTTAATGTTCAGATTTGTGTCCCATTGATAGATGAATGGAAATGAGTCGATAATGTTTTAAAGTCGTGCCTATCTTTCACTTATTTACAGGAAGTATGTGGTGGGACACGAGAGGCTGGGACCGAACTTCATACAACTACAAACGCATCAGGGGACAAGATGGTAAGTTTCTATGTATTGTTTTTCCATACATTGTTGCGTGTCGCTGACTGGAATAGATTGATGCTGTTTTACCAGGACTATTGTCTTGGTAAGGGGGCTCCGTTTCCCCATACTTTGGGTCACATTGAAACGGGTTTCTACACACAAAGATAAAGGCCGTCTGGTCACAGGGTGTCTTGTAGGGACAGCAGTCCTTGTAAGGACAGAGGATTTACAACCTGTTGACATGACTAGACATTAGATCATTGCCTTCATCCAGCATGTGCACACCTCCATAACTGTTAAACCTTTGCAGCACACAAGTCAGATCAAACCACTACCACGGTGACAACACTGTCTTTTGTTTGTGCTACAATTTCAGGCTCCCTGGGAAGTAGCTTCTAACCCTGAGCCCGAGAGAGATCCTCCGTTGTCCCCACGAACCAAAATGGCAAGTTGTACTTCATAATACTCTATCACCATTGTTTTTTCACACACTGGTAAAGGGAGGAATCTTTGTCACATATATGGCAAACAAGTTGGATATCTGTCAGCTTGTTAGCGTTGATGACGCCTTGACCTAAGATACACAATTTAGGCAGGACATACTTTCAATACTACTTCAACTGCTCTTAGTCAGATGCTAATAAGAGTTTTTCAAAATGAAGAGTACAATTTGTGTTTTTTATAAAATAAGGTGTCCAAGCAGACAACCTTATTGTTTTTCATTGTCATAAGGATTATGTCCTAAAAGTATCTGGGTCACATTTCACACTCAAACACACTTAAAATAACATATATATTTATTTTGTTTATGTTCAATGTTTGATCCACAGTGTCATCATGAACTCACCAGTGCAGTTATTTCCTCTTTGGATAATTGTCATGATTGCAGAGGACCTGTCTCAAGCCTCAAATGGATTGGTTTTACGTGTAAATGTAAGTACCTGTCAAACAACACCGTTTTATTTTTTACTCTGAGATGATAAACATTTCGATAAAACAAACTTAATTTCAAATACTTAACTTAGATTCTAAATGACTTACTTTCTTCTTTGTTATATAGTGAAATGCACAGTGATTAAATGTTAAAATAATGCTCAAGAAATGTTACCAGTACATTTTTCTTGTGTAATTGTGTTTTTAGTATGTTCAACCTCATGGCACAAAACCTGCTTCATCAAGAACAACGAGTCACCGGTACGTCATGTGTTTATATAAATATCTGATTTCTTTGGATAATGAAAAAAATACAAACTTGGTGTTCCTTTATTTTTTAAAGATGAAGGACATCTGCCTTTCCAGTAATGAAGGTTCCGTCAGTGATAAAGACTACATTCCTGAAACGGCGTCTAGCAGCGATGGATCCAGCGCCGATGAAGACTGCCCACCTGACTCTGAAGCAAATACTGATTGGGATCATCTCATTGCCACCATCAGGGATTCAAAGCCACCCCATTGTAAGACAACATTTAAAATACCTCTCTTAAAGCTTCAGTTCATAACAGATATGTATTTATCAGCTACAAAGGCAACAGACCCAGGAACAGCTCGAACTGCAGGCAGCCGAGAGTCACATTGATTATTGCTCAGGCGTCATCTCTACTGTGGTGAATTGTCGGAAACATAACAACACATTTTGCATGTAGTTATCCCAATATTTATAAAAGATCTTACAAGATTTGAGCTCCAAATAAAGCAGCATGTTGCAGTGCTTTCTGCCTTTTTTCTCCTCTTTCAACCAAGAAGCCCTGTACCGCCCGCACCTCTGGAAAAACGCTTAATAATTCAGTCGTAGATACCACATCACACATATCCTCACATCACTGTAGAACACAGAGTAGTGTTCAGGCTACCGTTTGTTACTCACAAGGCCCTACATGGCTGTGCCCCTTCATGCATCTCAGACCTCTTACATCCCACTCAGATCAGTCGACCACAGGCTCTTATTTATACCCTGCTCCCTCTGTAAACCCCTCCTCACCTCTCTGACGAAGGGTTTGGGGTCGAATCCCCCCCCTGCTGAGGGTCCTTGAGGCCTCATCACTCTCACCAGCTGCAGGACCACCAGCAGAGCCTCTGAGGTGATCTTATAGAAGGAGTCCTCCACACAGGAGACCACCGGGGGGAGCAGCACCTGCAGGGGGACGAGCACATCTGTTTAGCGGACTCTGGGCACCAGATCGTGAGCGCATTAGGAGGTGGAAACGAGATGGATTAGGATACACTGTGCTTCTGACCAGCGTTAGAAGTGTGGTGCTCAGACACCTAGAAACGTTTTGTTTTTACCAAGCATTCATTGAGAGCCTTATTTGTTTTTCTTTTATCTGCTGGTTCCATAGCCTGACACTGAAAGACAGGAACAGCCTGAACAACATGTTAAAACCTGCTCTAAGGTCATCGGAGTGAAACAGAGAGACTCCTTTTTGAACACCAGATCAAAAAAACGAGGTGTTCCAGCAGATTCTGCAGAAAGCAGATTCTGCAGAATCTGCTGGAACATCAGCAGGACATGACTCTTTAAAGTAGAGACACTACATACTGTAACAACACTTACACATGTAAATAACACATTGTAAGCTACATTTTTAGTTTTTTGGTAATCTAAAACATAGACAAGTATGGTTTGCCCTTAAGATGTCTTTGTGTCATTTGTATGTGTGCACCCTTCCCATATGGACAGGAAGAGTGGACAGCTAAGCGTTGCTGGTGGAGGGAGAGGTGTGGAGAGGGCAGAGGTGGGGACTCGAGTCACATGACTTGACTCGAGTCGGACTCGAGTCGCATATTTTTGGACTTGAGACTTGCTTGACTAACATTGATAAAAGACTTGACTTGACTTTGACTTGGTATTCATGACTTGAGACTTGACTTAAGCTTGAGACAGATGACTTGAAAGGACTTGACTTTTTAAAATGAAATATTTGCGTTTGTTTTTGTATTGAGATATTACATTTCGTTTTTTCGAAACGTGATTGGGTGATTATAGCACCGTGCGCGCAAACCTGGCAACCCACTAGCAGTGTTGCCAACTTGGCGACTTTCTCGTTAAATTCGGCGGCTTTCCAAACCCTCCGGCTACTTATTTTTGTCAAAAGCGACTAACGACTAATTTAACGACTTGTAATGGTGTTATTAGGGACTTTTCTGGTGTTTGGAGACTCAAATATTGTTCAGCAGTTAACGAGCCGCGGGTGCTGCCGTGAGCCCCTCTGCCCTCCCATAGTACTCACAGGCGCTCGGCCTCCCGCAGCAGCTCAGCTGCAGTCAGAGCAGAAAGGAGACAGCCACACTCTCCCGCGTCAAGACTGCAAATGAATTGCGCATGAGCGGGATTTAAATGTAAAATGTAAATGTTTCTTCACTGTCACTGTCACACTATAATAAATAACTGCCTTTGCTTTGCTTTGACTCACACAGCCTCAGTCACTTAATCACCTCGTCCACTGTGTGTGTGCCTCTGTGACAAGCTAAACATCCACGTAGGTCATCATGTCACAGTCTAAAGTTACTGTGGCCTATTCACAAAAGTACAGAAAGGAGTGGGAATCAAACCCTGAGTTTAAAGGATGGTTGAAGCCATTTATTGGAGATGACACACGGGCCTACTGATATAGGCCTACTGCCTTTATTGTAAGGGAGATTTCTACTAAAAACTACTAAAAAATCCTGTAACTGCTGTGCTGACTTTCTACCCTTTTTCTACATTGGTTCCAGCGTGTGAAGATTAACGGCGTCGGTTTCCGTTAGCCTCAGAGTAATTGTTAAGACAGCGATGAACAGTCCTTAGCTCTAATCCCCAAATCAAAGAGAAGTTGCGCAGACCACCAACATTCAGGTTTGATTTCCTTCACTCAAAAAAAACATGCCTTAATCTTTCCTTCCTTTCAGAGATCGCAGCGCAGAAGCTAGACTTACCTCCTGTATTTACTAATTAGCGAGAATGTGATTCAGGGTTCTTGAATTCACTTCCCACAGAACAGTACAAATAATGTAAGCTTTATGAAAGAAAAAGACAAAGGTGGTATTTCTAAGTGAGTCTGGAGATGTTGTAACATGCAGTAGGGTGTGTGACATATACAGCACACTGTGAGGTAAAAAGGAGAGGAAGAAAATTGTCTCGGAGTGTGACTACAAAGATAGATGTGTGTGGAGAAGAGAAAAATATACAGAGATGAAAGGTTAAGGGAGAACAAAGCATGTCGAGTAGTGAGCATGGTTAAATAATTGTTGTTTTATTGTGCATGCACTGTGCAAATGTACTCTAGGTAGAAGCTGTGGCATAATCCTGAGGGAGCAACACTATCAACAGACAAAGACTTGCATACCATTTATTCATCCAATTTGACCTGACAGCTAATTCCATTTTTTTATGAACACACATATGTTAATATCCCTTCATATTTCCTTCTTGGCTTCAATTCAAACTGTCCTTTGGTGTTTGTGTGGAGCCCAAGGCTGAGCGTCATTACGGTGCTCGGCAGGCTCATTGCAGATCTATTATGTTGATTTGACTCCATGAGGTGGTAGAGAAAGCACTTGCTATGTGAGAAGCAGAGTAATGTGATTATATTACAGGAGCAGTAGGGTTGTTTGATAAGTATAGGGCCGCGAAACTCGCGGAAGTGATTTCAAAACAAAAGCACTCGTTTGCTTGGAACGTTGATAATATTATAAACGAGGGGAAACAAGGTGAATTTAGCGATGACAACGAAAACGGCCAAGACACACATTGAGCCCAGAAAATGAATGTTATTAAGGACTGTAAATATAATAAGTCTATGTCTAAAATGGACAACATTGTTAGGAGATTTAAACTACACAGCGATTCTGCACTGCGGTCACTCAGCCGTCTGTTTTTTCAAATCAGCTGCTCTTCATTTTTTTTTTACAAATATTTTTTACCACAAGTTCTTAATAAAACTGACACTGTTGGACTCGGTATTAGTTTGCCTGCTACTAACAATACATTGAAGTACTTTTACTGTGTATTTTTTTAGAAATACCCTGTCAAAGTCCCCTCCTGAGAACAAAAGCAAGCCACTTCTGCTAAGTTTGATGAGGGAATTCTTTTTTGTTGTCATTAGTTCTTCGTGAGATTGATCCTGTTGGACTCAGTACTAGTGAAACCCCCACAAGTAGTATGAAGTACTTTTACTGTGTAGTTACTTTATAAACTCTGAATCTTGTGGTGCTTGAAGAAATACAGACTGGTTAAGCCGGCCAGGTTATATATATGCCCTTTTTTGCAATATTTATTAAAATGCCACTAGTTATTTAAACAAACCACTATCTGAGGATAATACAAGCAACCATAAAACGCCCTTTATCTCGAGAGCCATTGAAGCCCATGAAGAATTTATCCTTCCACAAATCTTTTCATCTGCTGTATTAATAAAGTTGCCACGTGTTTTCAAATTCAAGTTAAGGCACTATCTGTGCAGAACATGAACCCTTTAACTGCCAGACCAAGAAAAAAGCTATGGAACAATTATTTGTTTGCATTTTTTTATCAAATGGGCCACAACTAACCACAAACACATTTCTTTTTTTTTGACTGACCACACAGTTTTGTTTTTTTGAGCCAGACTACCAACTGGTCGAGCTGGCCTTCTATGGTAAAAGTGCATTTTCAACAATCATCATACAGTACAGTATTTGTATGCATCAAACTCAAATAAAACACAAACTGAAATAAAAAATATTATTTGATGGAAAATTAGCAATATATAGATATATTCATAAAAGATAATAAATTATAATTGTAAAAAAAGGAAAAAAGTAATGTTAAGTGTTTTTCATAATAAAAAAAAAACTTGCTCATCTTACTGTAGATGCTGAATTGGCCTAACAAGAAACCACTGGCCTAACAGCAAATGTCTATATCCTGTGTTGGCCTAACTTGCTCATCTGTGTGCAACTTCGGGCTGAATGCCATGCATGAAAGCTGCTTTATGAATTATTATCACTCTTTCACTCTGAGACTCATAAGGCAGTACTAGATGTAGTAATATTACCACCAATCTAGCCATTTATTTACCATATTTTATTGGAAAACATCTCTGAAACTCTGAAAAAGTCATATTGCTAGTTTACCATAAAAGGCCAATTCGACCGGTTGGTTGAGCATATTTTCCAAAAAATAATTACACCCTTGTTAAAACTTTTTTTTGTGCATCAAGTTATCTGATTATGTTCACTCAGTGCTCTGACACTAAAACATGTCAAAAATGACATGGTTACCTTACAGAAGTTGACCAAAAAGAGTGATTTCGTCAGCAGTGATTTTTAGCATGCCAACTTTCTCAGTGGAAGCCATAGACTGTATATATAAATACAAGTTGAAGCTAGCTGAAGGGCTTTCTATTCGAACCACAGTGACATCTAGAGGTTGTTTTGTGCATAGCATGTCAACCAAATGGTAGAGCTGGCTGAATCAGATGGAGTAAAACCTTTTTATTTTTCAACAAGATATCAAGACACAAAATGAGCTCTACCAAATGGTGGCGCTGGCTGTTAAAGGTTTAACAATATTCTTCATTTGCAGTATTTTATTTTAAAAGTGTTCAGAAAGACTGCATCAATGATATGCTATATATATATATAATATGAATATTTGTATTAACTTCAACCAAAGTCAATTTAAATAGCGGGCAAAAATGGGTTAATTGCCATGGATGTGGTGTTTGATATAGTTTACGTTCAATTTCAACTATTTTAGGCAGAAAAACGTCTATTGACTACACGCTTTTTAATAATTTACTATTTAGAAAGGTTTTTGTGAGAAATCATTTCAAAAGTAAACTTTTTTTTCCTTTTTCCTTTTGTATTTAAATTTGAAATGTTTGCACCAAACATTATTAATTTATACATTTTTATCAATTGTTTAAAATTATGAATCCATTTATTTTATTGTATTTCCTTGAGGCTGGGGAAGATATCCAGCATGTAGTTCACCATGCAAATGTTCTAATCAGGGTTCATACACTTTTTCACCAATGCATCTCCATGACTTCTCCATGACCTATACCTAATTTTCCATGACCAAAAACATTACTCTGTCTCAGCGGTACCACTGAAAATGGTTTATTTTAACATGGAACAGGAAAATAGGGTCTGAAACATGTTGTCCCTTTC